GATTTACTTGTCAAGTATATACACAATCTCAATGTACTGTTTGCAAAGACATTAAATAAATAAATACCAGAAGGCTCCTCAACAATATGTTAAGAAACTGCAAGTGAACTTACTCATCTAATTATTAAATGTTTTAAATAATTTTTCAAACAAATGGCTTGGAAAATGTTATACAGTGGTACTTCAAGTTATGAACTTATTTCATTCCAGAACGCCGTTCGAGTGCTGATACCAAACGAATTTGTTCCCATAAGGAATAATGTAAATTAGATTAGTCCATTTCAGACCCCCAGAATACACTTACATAACTGTTCGAGTTGGTACCTGTTCGAAACTCAAGGTACCATTGTAATACAGTTTATCCAAATGTAGCATCAGATTGTGAAACAATTTATTCAAGAGACAGACTAATTCTACCTTATAAACACCAAAATGAAGCACAAGAACCAATGCAGAAGTGCCAAAGAGATACTAGAAAGATATTCACAGAGTGGTACAATAATGAATGAATTATAAAGAGAAGATAATGTTAAAGCCTCCAAATTTAAAAAAAAAAAAATATACAATAATTATTGAAGTCAGAACACCATAAACTTAACTATACTCCTGCAGATACATACAGGAAGGCCCCTTTTGTATGACTCTTAGATTCCTGACCCTGTGCAGTAAGTGAAAATCACTGGCTGGTGGAAAAAAGCATTTTTTTTCATTACTGAATCCATCTAAAATGTCTGATAATATGTTTACACTATCATATATTAAGTGCATAAAAAAAGATAAAAAAGTAAAGCCAAGGAAAACATGGAACACCAAAGAGGGTGCCGAATATATGGGGCCCTACTGTACTCTATTTTCCCATCATGTAGGATGACATATTTTCCTTGCATTTTATTGCTCTAGGGTGCTTTAAATGTCATAGTGGCCAGGCGGGATACCATACTTCCCACACCTGACTTTCTACAGATAAATACTATTCACCTCTCACCCTACACTAAGACCATAAAGACTACAAATATTTTAAGGCAAGTAATGAGTGTACTGTATATGCATTTTATAACTCTAGGGTGCTTTAAATGTCTTAGTATATGATGTGTGGGTGGTGTGGCCAGGTGGACTACCTTACCTATCACACCTAACTTCTTACAATAAATACTACTCACCTCTCGTCCTACAATAAGACTACAAATATTTTGAGGCAAGTAATGAGTATAATGTGTGTATATTTTACTTTTTATTGTTTTTTAATGCTAGTTCTATTGCTAACTTAATATATGTTAGTGTGAACTTGTTATCTGGCATTTATATGAATTTATAAATGGAAAAAATAGTGTCCTGCTTTCCGGTGATATCCGCTTTCTGGCGGTAGCCTGGAACCTAACCTGCCATATTAAGTGGGACCCTACTGTATAGTATTACTTAGTGCAATTTTACATTAGTGCAAATTTCAGGAATAAACATACATACACACTGCGAGGCCTGGTCACAGACCAGGCCATGGGGGCACTGATCCCCAAAACCCTCTCTCCAGGTATAATCAAAACCACACTGGCTTTTTCTCCATCAAGGGTGACCCACAGAATGCAAGAATAATATGGATGTTTAACAGGTAAACTTCTTCTTGATTACCCATGCATCTTATGAAACTCCATTGCATGGAACACCAAAGATAATGGAAGGAAAGAGAAAACACTCATAAACAGACAAGCTAACAATTGCCAAAGAGGTCATGAGATAGCAACAAAGCACAAGAAGTATTTTGAGATGCATTTGTTGAGGTACAAACCACCATCAGGTGAAAATATAGGAATTTGCAGGAAACTTAGTTGCTCTGATGAAAGATATTTCACAGAGCACCAAATTGTTCATAACTTCTATCACATACAAAACTGTTATTTTGTATCTTATTTACAAGTGTCCATCATTATATTAGAGGTTTTTCAAGGTGTTGTGCTCTGAATCATGGTTTGAGGCACAGTGCTGAATCCATGAATTTGTATTACAGTCAAAAGAGCTTGGGGATTAAGGTTTTATCTTAACAGTTCCACATGGTTGATACAGGTGCACCTGACAGTAGATGTGCTTATGGTGGCATTTATGCAGCCCATTCTTATACCATGAGTAATACTCATTCACATTTGAAAGTTTCTTATATTATCAGTCACTTCATTGCCAGGCATATTAGTCATATTATTTAAATAACAAAAAGGCACAATACTGTGACTGGAACAACACACAAATAACCCGCACATAGGAGAGAGAAGCTTACAATGACGTTTCAGTCCGACTTGGACCATTTACAAAGTCACACTGTGACTTTGTAAATGGTCCAAGTCAGACTGAAACGTCGTCATGAGTGCCTCTCTCCTATGTGCGGGTTATTTATGTATTGTGTCATATTATTTAATTTGCTTATTTGTTTGTATGGTCACATCACCCACAAAGTTAGTAGAGGAGCACGTGGCAGTAGTAATATGTGAGGCAGCAAGGCTGGTGTTTGTGTGGTCATGTGCTGGTACGTTATGCTACTTTAAGGTTAATCAGCATTACCACTACCAATATGCTTTCACTTTCTATCTACATATCTGCTTACTATCACACTAACTGCAACATGTTAAGCATGTTTGTTTTTCTTCATCTTTACTAAAAGTTTCAGAAACAAGTGCGATAAACCTTCATAACGCATGGGTTACATTCTACATTCCTGAAAATCAGTGTTAAGAGCAAAAATAGGGTTTTCTAGATACAGTACTTCTAAATTTGCAATTTTTTTATCATATTATAAAAATTACTGCAGTAGAATTTACTCTGTGGTAGTGTGCCTTCTTGAAATGTCAGAGTATAGAGAGGGCTGATGTGGCCTAATTTCTTGAAGTAGATGATGGTTATCATCATTAATTAATGTGGATGCAGGATTGTCAGTAGTTGATGGTTGTGATGTGTATGCTGTAATGCATCTCTGGTCTATTTTTACCCTGCAGTACTTTATGCAGCTGACAATAAGCCATCATTTTTTGCTCATGAATTTTCTTCAAGACCAGTGCTTCTAGACTTGTTGGGCTACTTTACCAATAGCACATTATTACTCCTGCAGGGTTAACTGTTCATCTTCAGGTTCCTCCTCATCCTTGTCTTTTATCTGCTTCTCTCTAAATTAGAACCTTAGGTCCTCTAACATTTCTTCTGCAGATAGTTCTTTATTTTTTTTTTTAATTTCACTTGTGGAATGTGTTCTTCATGCTTATCTTCAAAGCCTTCAGCCCTCAGTCTTTGCCAGAGCCACAGTTTCCTAGACCAGACTCCTCACCAAAGTAAATAAGTAGAGGAATTATTCATAAACATGACAAATAACCCCAGCCTGCATTTATGCTTGATACCTTAAAGTACATAAGGAAATCAGAATACAAAGTTCTATCTTCCAAGGTATATCTTCACTGCAGGAATAAAATGATGCTTGAACTGTTCAAAAAACAGGGCCTCAGTCATCCACACTGCTTTGTTAGATCACCCAATAAAGGGAAAGCAAGTTTTATCTTTTCCTGTTAGCACACAAGAGATTCTTTGCACAATGAAAAAAAAAAGAGCTTGTACTGAAGGAGGGGTGTTAATGTTGCAGTTTAAAAACTGTAGTGTAAAGCACCCTTCTGGCAAGACAGTGATGGAGTGAATGATGGTGAAAGTTTTTCTTTTTCGGGTCACCCTGCCTTGGTGGGAATCAGCCAGTGTGATAATAATAATAATAAAATAATAATACTTAGGCATGTATGGCAGTGGGGAAGAGAAAGGGTTGTACCTTCACAACCTGAAGACCAAAAAAGATATTTTGGGAAGGTCAACACCCCAGCAGCCTGATCTCAGACAAGTTGTTTTGGTGGATCAAGGTCTAGTCAACCTGGCTGTATGCAATCTGTTGTATGAACCACAGCCTGGTTGACCAGGAACTGACTTTAGGAACTTTTCAAGTTTCCTTTTGAAGACAGCCAGGGGTCTGTTGCTAATTTCCCTTATGTATAATGGGAGTTCGGTGAAGTTTTGGGGTCCATACTATATTATCTCGGTGTATTTACTCATGGCACCCCTGTTTTTCAATAGGAGTATTATATACCATCAGACAAGCCTCTTGTTTTTGTAGGGATTGATTTGTTTGCGCAGATTCATGATCAGCACCTCTTGGATTTTCCAGGTCTAAATTGTGATGTACCTTTCTTGCTTGCCCATGTTCCAAGCAGTCATATTCATGACCCATAGGTCTAAGAGCCCAACCTGGGCCTGAAGGGAAAATTCCATGACATGCAGGATCCAGATTTGATCTGCTAGCCAATTTTTTTTGTACATGTTACAGAAGTTAATATCAAGATTTTCCCTTCGCTATCAAATCTTTGGTTGCATATTTTACATCATACAGCTATCAAATTCTATAAGTCAAGTTGCAAGAGGGTTTGCTGTATTACAATTATCTGATTTTCTCTATTTCTTCTTGCACTATAGTAGTACAAAACCAGTATCTACACTGCTTACCTTTTCAGACAAAGCCATGTACTTTTAAAGTATGTACTCATTACTACATTATATTATAATCAAAAATAAGTGCTAAGCCACAAGGGCTATACAGCACAACTCATTACTACAGAAATCCTCAGTTGTACTCTTCTTCTGAATACCAAAAATAAGTGTCGACTTTCTCCTTACTTAAAACTGTGTCTACCCTGTATGGGGCATACTGAACTTTTTTTTTTTTTTTTACTAGATCTTAATTTGGCATGTTGGACCAAAGATGCTTAACTTGCACTATACATCTCAGTATCCTGATGACAGCATTATCAACATTTATGGACCAATTTTTTCAGTAAAAAATGCAGAGACCAGCTTTATTTCTTTGGCAATTTATTATGTAATTGATAATCAGTATTGTGGTAATAGACTTTTGTATCTATCATGACTAATAGAAGAGAGTAATTTGACTGCTGCTTTTCTTCTTGAGTCAAAGGTAAATGATATCCAGATTTTAGCATTTATAATATTGTCAAGTACAAATAATTTTATTAATGACTCGTAGCAATGCACAATAGTGCTATAATATTTGATTTTTTTTCTGTATTCCATTTACATGCTTATTCTTATATTATTATTAAAGTGCTAAACCAGGTTTATCCATATAGTCATTACTTATCCAGTGAAGTCTGTCAATTCTCCTACTGTCACTATTTTTTTTTTTAGGTGTTTCTTTTAAATTTATTTATTTACTTAAATTTTTTTGTTTCACTTTTCTACCAACAATGAAGTTCAAGTCCTACTGAAAGGAAATAAATAACAAATTACCCAGTAATGCATCATACTAGGCAAGCTGCCATCATAAATACTGCAGGAGGGGCCTTATATTTTGAATAAGACACTATCAAAGAGCTACAATATGTACCACTTGTGAATTATTATTATAATCAAAACTAAGCGCTAAACCACCAGGGTCATACAACACTAACCACTTGTGAAACTTACAGAGATACGTTCCAAGTAGATGGAAAACTGCCAATATTAAGAAAAAAAATGGGGACAAGGAGAATCCTTAAATAACTGGCCAGTATCCTTCCCCTATACATCCCATGAAGTCCTAGAGAAGATCCTAAGATTAAGGAAAATACAGACACGATAGATCAAAAACATGGGTTTAGAAAAGGAAGTCATACCTTACCATCTAATTTTTTTTAAGTATTAACCATTTCCTACCAAGGTAGACCAACCAAAATAAGGAAACACTCACTATTGTTAATTCAACTTTGTATACTAAAAACACACACACACACACATACATTAACAGCCAGGAACTGTGACTTGACCCCTGTAACCACAAATAGATGAGTACACACACTCTTGCATACTAACTCACTTCCTACTTAAGATACTAATACCTCTCAGTAACTAATACATGTATCACCTTTCTATTTTAAATACTAATCACTCTCAGGAAGTAATTACTTTGCTCTTTGTAAAAAGACTGAAAAACTGTGCTACTTTATCACTCATTTTCTCTTAAATTACTTCTGGTAAGATACACACACTATATTAGATCTCAACACTGTATCCTACAATATACTTGAGGCAGAGAATGTTTACTGTGATCAAAGTTAGTTTAGGGTATCTAATGTCAAACCCAGAAAACTATATCAACATTGACACAAGATAACTGCTTAACTTTTCTTTATTTGACGGAGTGATGAGTGATAGAGTATCTCAAACATTTTGCACAATACTGCTTTATTCTTCTGCAAGAGAAAAGTTATGACTTTATGTACTCAATACTAACAGTAACCTATATCAAGCTTGAAGATTTATCACTGTATAGTCGTGATTTGCATTCCAATTTCTTGAATAATTTTACATACTATATAACCTCCCAGCCACATACAAATATTACAAAGGAATCACTTTAATAGTCTATGCATAATGAAGTTTAGAAGTGCTAATAAAGACAGCTATGTTTTATGAAGCATGTACCAGGTATGTAAAAAGTGAGAGATGGGTGATAAATTTTCTTAAATCATGTCTGAGTAAAAAGTTCAACACAACATTAAAGAAAACTACTTACTTGGAACAATATCATTCATTGCCTCAACAGCATGTCCAAGTACAGTATGGTAATAAGTAATACAGTGTTACAACCATCTAAGTAACAGTATTACAGCAATATACCACAGATGGAGAGGGAAAGAAGGGGGCTGTAGCACTAAATCAAAGTGTAAATGCTACCTACATTGATATAAATTGACATAATATATATTATCTGTATGAAATAGCATGTGCCAACTAGATAAATGGATGAAATTAGAGGTGAACTGCATTACTGTAAGTGAAAAATAAAGCACTGATACTCAAAGGAGTTTTACTGCAAACCTAATCCTTTTATTTTCAAACATGTAAGAAATTAAGCATTATTAAATTTAAAAAGAAAAACTTGTATTTTTCTTTTTAGGTCACCTTGCCTCAGTGGGATATGGCCAGTTATTGGAAGAAAGAAAGAAAGAAAGAAAGAAAAAAAAAGTTCAGTGTCTGAGACATGAAGGCCATGGTCATTCTGGCAAGAGCTGGTCTGTGAAATTAGAATTAATGTTGGTGTTTCCGGGACCAGGTACTTGAAAGACGGAGGGTGTAGTGTACACCCGGAGAGTGTTTCTCAGCCTGGTCTGTGATGTGTATATTTTTTTTTTTTCAACAAACTGGCTGCATCCCACTGAGGCAGGGTGGCCCAAAACGAAAAACAAAAGTTTCTCTTTTTAAATTTAGTAATCTATACAGGAGAAGGGGTTACAAGCCGCTTGCTCCCGGCATTTTAGTTGCCTCTTACAACACGCATGGCTTATGGAGGAAGAATTCTGTTCCACTTTAATGGAAATAAACAAGAATAAGAACTAGAAGGAAAATAGAAGAAAACCCAGAGGGGTGTGTATATATATGCTTGTACATGCATGTGTAGTGTGACCTAAGTGTAAGTAGAAGTAGCAAGATGTATCTGAAATCTTGCATGTTTATGAAAGAAGAAAAGACACTAGTAATCCTACCATCATGTAAAACAATTACAGGTTTCAGTTTTACACTCGCTTGGCAGGACGGTAGTACCTCCCTGGGTGGTTGCTGTCTACCAACCTACTACCTAGTTATATATTTAATACTGGGGAGAGGGAGGTATTAGGTAGATGGCGAGAATATTTTGAGGAACTTTTAAATGTTGAGGAAGAAAGGGAGGCGGTAATTTCATGCACCTGCCAGGGAGATATACCATCTTTTAGGAGTGAAGAAGAGCAGAATGTAAGTATGGGGAGGTACGTGAGGCATTACATAGAATGAAAGGGGGTAAAGCAGCTGGAACTGATGGGATCATGACAGAAATGTTAAAAGCAGGGGGGGATAGTGTTGGAGTGGTTGGTACTTTTGTTTAATAAATGTATGAAAGAAAGGAAGGTACCTAGGGATTGGCGGAGAGCATGTATAGTCCCTCTATATAAAGGGAAGGGGGACAAAAGGGATTGTAAAAATTATAGAGGAATAAGTTTACTGAGTATACCAGGAAAAGTGTACGGTAGGGTCATAACTGAAAGAATTAGAGGTAAGACAGAATGTAGGATTGCGGATGAGCAAGGAGGTTTCAGAGTGGGTAAGGGATGTGTAGATCAAGTGTTTACATTGAAGCATATATGTGAACAGTATTTAGATAAAGGTAGGGAAGTTTTTATTGCATTTATGGATTTAGAAAAGGCATATGATAGAGTGGAAAGGGGAGCAATGTGGCAGATTTTGCAAGTATATGGAATAGGTAGTAAGTTACTAAATGCTGTAAAGAGTTTTTATGAGGATAGTGAGGCTCAGGTTAGGGTGTGTAGAAGAGAGGGAGACTACTTCCCGGTAAAAGTAGGTCTCAGACAGGGATGTGTAATGTCACCATGGTTGTTTAATATATTTATAGATGGGGTTGTAAAAGAAGTAAATGCTAGGGTGTTCGGGAGAGGGGTGGGATTAAATTATGGGGAATCAAATACAAAATGGGAATTGACACAGTTACTTTTTGCTGATGATACTGTGCTTATGGGAGATTCTAAAGAAAAATTGCAAAGGTTAGTGGATGAGTTTGGGAGTGTGTGTAAAGGTAGAAAGTTGAAAGTGAACATAGAAAAGAGTAAGGTGATGAGGGTATCAAATGATTTAGATAAAGAAAAATTGGATATCAAATTGGGGAGGAGGAGTATGGAAGAAGTGAATGTTTTCAGATACTTGGGAGTTGATGTGTCGGCGGATGGATTTATGAAGGATGAGGTTAATCATAGAATTGATGAGGGAAAAAAGGTGAGTGGTGCGTTGAGGTATATGTGGAGTCAAAAAACGTTATCTATGGAGGCAAAGAAGGGAATGCATGAAAGTATAGTAGTACCAACACTCTTATATGGGTGTGAAGCTTGGGTTGTAAATGCAGCAGTGAGGAGGCAGTTAGAGGCAGTGGAGATGTCCTGTCTAAGGGCAATGTGCAGTGTAAATATTATGCAGAAAATTTGGAGTGTGGAAATTAGGAGAAGGTGTGGAGTTAATAAAAGTATTAGTCAGAGGGCTGAAGAGGGGTTGTTGAGGTGGTTTGGTCATTTAGAGAGAATGGATCAAAGTAGAATGACATGAGCATTTAAATCTGTAGGAGAAGGAAGACGGGGTAGGGGTCGTCCTCGAAAAGGTTGGAAGGAAGGGGTAAGGGAGGTTTTGTGGGCGAGGGGCTTGGATTTCCAGCAAGCGAGCATGAGCGTGTTCAATAGGAGTGAATGGAGACGAATGGTATTTGGGACCTGACGATCTGTTGGAGTGTGAGCAGGGTAATATTTAGTGAAGGGATTCAGGGAAACCAGTTATTTTTATATAGCTGGACTTGCGTCCTGGAAATGGGAAGTACAATGCCTGCACTCTAAAGGAGGGATTTCGGGATATTAGCAGTTTGGTGGGATATGTTGTGTATCTTTATACGTATATGCTTCTAAACTGTCGTGTTCTGAGCACCTCTGCAAAAACAGTGATTATGTGTGGTGAGGTGAAAGTGTTGAATGATAATGAAAGTATTTTCTTTTTGGGTCACCCTGCCTCGGTGGGAGATGGCCGACTTGTTAAAAAAAAAAAAAATAGATGAATGGGAGCAAGGGGTTAGTAACCCCTTCTCCTGTATAAATTAATAAATTGAAAAAAAGAAAAACTTCCATTTTTCTTTTTAGGTCACCCTGCCTTGTTGGGATACAGCTGGTGTGTTGAAAAAAAAAAAATAGATGAATTCCATTAAAGCTAATTCTAAGACCATTTCTGAAGGTAGATATTGATAAAATAATATTTATTTATTTTTTTTTTTTTATTATCACACCGGTCGATTCCCACCAAGGCAGGGTGGCCCGAAAAGGAAAAACTTTCACCATCATTCACTCCATCACTGTCTTGCCAGAAGGGTGCTTTACAATACAGTTTTTAAACTGCAACATTAACACCCCTCCTTCAGAGTGCAGGCACTGTACTTCCCATCTCCAGGACTCAAGTCCGGCCTGCCGGTTTCCCTGAACCCCTTCATAAATGTTACTTTGCTCACACTCCAACAGCACGTCAAGTATTAAAAACCATTCGTCTCCATTCACTCCTATCAAACACGCTCACGTACGCCTGCTGGAAGTCCAAGCCCCTCGCACACAAAACCTCCTTTACCCCCTCCCTCCAACCTTTCCTAGGCCGACCCCTAACCCACCTTCCTTCCACTACAGACTGATACACTCTTGAAGTCATTCTGTTTCGCTCCATTCTCTCTACATGTCCGAACCACCTCAACAACCCTTCCTCAGCCCTCTGGACAACAGTTTTGGTAATCCCGCACCTCCTCCTAACTTCCAAACTACGAATTCTCTGCATTATATTCACACCACACATTGCCCTCAGACATGACATCTCCACTGCCTCCAGCCTTCTCCTTGCTGCAACATTCATCAAACATGCTTCACACCCATATAAGAGCGTAGGTAAAACTATACTCTCATACATTCCCCTCTTTGCCTCCAAGGACAAAGTTCTTTATCTCCACAGACTCCTAAGTGCACCACTCACCCTTTTCCCCTCATCAATTCTATGATTCACCTTATCCTTCATAGACCCATCCGCTGACACGTCCACTCCCAAATATCTGAATACATTCACCTCCTCCATACTCTCTCCCTCCAATCTGATATCCAATCTTTCATCACCTAATATTTTTGTTATCCTCATAACCTTACTCTTTCCTGTATTCACTTTTAATTTCTTCTTTTGCACACCCTACCAAATTCATCCACCAATCTCTGCAACTTCTCTTCAGAATCTCCCAAGAGCACAGTGTCATCAGCAAAGAGCAACTGTGACAACTCCCACTTTATGTGTGATTCTTTATCTTTTAACTCCACGCCTCTTGTCAAGACCCTCGCATTTACTTCTCTTACAACCCCATCTATAAATATATTGAACAACCACGGTGACATCACACATCCTTGTCTAAGGCCTACTTTTACTGGGAAATAATTTCCCTCTTTCCTACATACTCTAACTTGAGCCTCACTATCCTCGTAAAAACTCTTCACTGCTTTCAGTAACCTACCTCCTACACCATACACCTGCAACATCTGCCACATTGCCCCCCTATCCACCCTGTCATATGCCTTTTCCAAATCCATAAATGCCACAAAGACCTCTTTAGCCTTATCTAAATACTGTTCACTTATATGTTTCACTGTAAACACCTGGTCCACACACCCCCTACCTTTCCTAAAGCCTCCTTGTTCATCTGCTATCCTATTCTCCATCTTACTCTTAATTCTTTCAATAATAACTCTACCATACACTTTACCAGGTATACTCAACAGACTTATCCCCCTATAATTTTTGCACTCTCTTTTGTCCCCTTTGCCTTTATACAAAGGAACTATGCATGCTCTCTGCCAATCCCTAGGTACCTTACCCTCTTCCATACATTTATTAAATAATTGCACCAACCACTCCAAAACTATATCCCCACCTGCTTTTAACATTTCTATCTTTATCCCATCAATCCCGGCTGCCTTACCCCCTTTCATTTTACCTACTGCCTCACGAACTTCCCCCACACTCACAACTGGCTCTTCCTCACTCCTACAAGATGTTATTCCTCCTTGCCCTATACACGAAATCACAGCTTCCCTGTCTTCATCAACATTTAACAATTCCTCAAAATATTCCCTCCATCTAACTCTCCATTTAATAACTCTCCTCTCCTATTTTTAACTGACAAATCCATTTGTTCTCTAGGCTTCCTTAACTTGTTAATCTCACTCCAAAACGTTTTCTTATTTTCAACAAAATTTGTTGATAACATCTCACCCACTGTAGGTAGTAGGTTGGTAAACAGCAACCGTCCAGGGAGGTACTACCGTCCCGCCAAGTGAGTGTAAAACGAAAGCCTGTAATTGTTTTACATGATGGTAGGATTGCTGGTGTCTTTTGTCTGTCTCATAAATATGCAAGATTACAGGTAAGTCTTGCTACTTCTACTTACACTTATGTCACACTACACATACATGTACAAGCATATATACACACACCCCTCTGGGTTTTCTTCTATTTTCTTTCTAATTCTTGTTCTTGTTTATTTCCTATCTCCATGGGGAAGTGGAACAGAATTCTTCCTCTGTAAGCCATGCGTGTCGTAAGAGGCGACTAAAATGCCGGGAGCAAGGGGCTAGTAACCCCTTCTCCTGTATATATTACTAAATTTAAAAGGAGAAACTTCAGTTTTTTCTTTTGGGCCACCCCACCTCGGTGGGATACGGCTGGTATGTTGAAAGAAGAAGATCTCACCCACTCTCTCATTTGCTCTCTTTTTACATTGCTTCACCACTCTCTTAACCTCTCTCTTTTTCTCCATATACTCTTCCCTCCTTGCATCACTTCTACTTTGTAAAAACTTCTCATATGCTAACTTTTTCTCCCTTACTACTCTCTTCACATCATCATTCCACCAATCGCTCCTCTTTCCTCCCGCACCCACTTTCCTGTAACCACAAACTTCTGCTGAACACTCTAACACTACAATTTTAAACCTACCCCATACCTCTTCGACCCCATTGCCTATGCTCTCATTAGCCCATCTATCCTCCAATAGCTGTTTATATCTTTCCCTAACTGCCTCCTCTTTTAGTTTATAAACCTTCACCTCTCTCTTCCCTGATGCTTCTATTCTCCTTGTATCCCATCTACCTTTTACTATCAGTGTAGCTACAACTAGAAGGTGATCTGATATATCTGTGGCCCCTCTATAAACATGTACATCCTGAAGTCTACTCAACAGTCTTCTATCCACCAATACATAATCCAACAAACTACTGTCATTTCGCCCTACATCACATCTTGTATACTTATTTATCCTCTTTTTCTTAAAATATGTATTACCTATAACTAAACCCCTTTCTATACAAAGTTCAATCAAAGGGCTCCCATTATCATTTACACCTGGCACCCCAAACTAACCTACCACACCCTCTCTAAAAGTTTCTCCTACTTTAGCATTCAGGTCCCCTACCACAATTACTCTCTCACTTGGTTCAAAGGCTCCTATACATTCACTTAACATCTCCCAAAATCTCTCTCTCTCCTCTGCATTCCTCTCTTCTCCAGGTGCATACACGCTTATTATGACCCACTTCTCGCATCCAACCTTTACTTTAATCCACATAATTTTTGCATTTACACATTCATATTCTCTTTTCTCCTTCCATAACTGAATATTCAACATTACTGCTACCCCTTCCTTAATAATACCCTTATGAAATTATTATATAATTAGTTCAGGAAACTGCCACCATGAAGATTACAAAAATGAACATGTTTACAGATCAGTGCTGCATATTACAGATTCTGAGGTGATTATCTAAAACAATTCTTGGGCAACTCAAACAGTATGTAGAAGAAATACAGTGTATAAATACAAAAAACTAACCAGAACTATGGTCAGCACTTTAAACTAAGATGACTTAAGTGCGTCACATGGTTTTAGGGAATGTGTGTATAGTAAATAATTGCAAAACATTTCAGTCCAACATGCCAAAACTGCAGTAAATCTTTGATGTAATGGACTGTGAAATCCACTACATAAATTGTAACTTCCGACTCCTGTATTTTCAGTGTTCATTGCAATATGACTAAATTGCAGGTACAGTATTATATCAGGTATACAGCAGAGTCCTTTATTTAATTTCACTGCTATTTTTTACCATTATTCCAATATAATGAACTCTTGGACAATCCCCTATTAGTACCATTTACTATATCCTTTTCTTTTTTTGTTGTTATTTTATCAAGCTGTAGAATATAATACAAAATATCACTTTCAACTGTTTCACACACCAAACTTCCAAGGCTCACAAGCCACTGAAAACTGGAAGGGAGATCACCGAGTGTATTTTTATAATATTTTTTACGGAAATGTTTTAACATCCAAACGTGTTTCAGAGGCTGAGGAATATTGAAAACAGTTTGTGTACTTTCCCTTCCTCCTGGTCTGTCATTATCATCAGATGAGGATAAAACAGAGAAATTATTTTCATTATCAGAGTCAAGCTTTTTCTTTCTTGCATTGTGGCTAATGGAAACTCTTTCTGGCTGAACAATAATTCTTGACTTTCTTTTCTTCAACTCCTTTTGTATTTCATCCAAATTCTCAGTCCAATTCACAGAATAGTGAGTGAAGGATTTGTTCACAAGTTCTTCGGCAACCTGAGGACAGAATCAAGTATAGCAAATCAATGCTATCAAGCACTAATAAAAAATGACCTTTTCCGTAACAGCTACATAATGCGATAAATTTTTTTCCAGTTCGCCCTGCATCTAATGAGACCAAAATATAAAGATATTGATTAGGAAGAATAAAGTCACAGTACCATGACTGGAACAATACACAAATAAACCCACACTCTGGAGATAATGCTTCAGTCCAACTTAGACCATTAACAAGTCACAGTGAAGCAATAAGGGAAGGAGGTCAGAATATATATAAGAGGGGATGGGGGGAGAGGGAGTGGTAAAGCAGTAGGAGGGAGTAGTTGGTGGGTGGCAGTGGTGGTGGAGGTAGTGCAGCAGTGGTAATAGTAGTAGTAATGGAAAACACGGGGAAAATATAATGGTAGAGAGTGTAGTATTAAATTTAAGAAATAGGTTTAGCAGTACGTAGTAATACGAGTGGAGGTAGTCCATAAGAACAAGAGAACAGGGGAGCACTGCAGGAGAGCTGCTGGCCCAGAAGGGTAGGAAAAAAATCTCCTGTGGGACAAAACCATATAGCATAGAATCCACCCAGGCAGAAGACAGGAAAGGCAATGAAAAAATAGAAAAAGTGAAGAGGTAAGAAGAGGAGACAAAGGTCAGGTCAAGTCACGAGTGTTCTGAAGATTAGAGCATTTGACAACTTGATGAGAAAGGAATGTAGTTACAGAGAAAAAACTGGGACTAAGATTTGTGTTAGAGATATTATGTATAAGAGATGCCTTAATAAGTCAGCATCTGTGAAGGGTAGAATGTACACAGTTTTGACATAGTAGTACTACTACTTCCTCCTCTTTGTCCTCCCTCCCTTGCTCCCCTCCTCCTCCTCATCCTACCTCCCTCCCTTCCCTCCTCCTCCTCCTCCTCATCATCATCCCTTCCCTACTCCATTCCTGCTACTGCTTCTGTCACCACCACTCCCTCCTCCCATTCTATCACTCTCTTCCCTTGCCCCCTCTCATAAATATTCTGGCCTTCTTTCCTTCTCACTTCAGTGTGACTTGCTAGTGGTCCAAGATGGACTGAAATATCATCATAAGTTTCAGTCTAAGTGTGGGTTACTTGTAAAAAAGAAGAATATGACCCTTAAGTTTTCTTAAACAACAGCTTTGGATTCTAACTGTAGTGTCTTAATGTGGTACTATATGGCATAAGGAAAATAAAAGCACACACACAAAAAAAAAAAACTTGCACTTTTAGATACAGACTTGAGGCCAAGGAATATGTTAAGAACATGGAAACAGCAGCAAAAAGATGTTACAAACTACCACCATCAAAGATGATAATCAGAGAATGAACAAAGTAAAAACAGTCAAAAGCTGTAAGATGAGAAACACAATCTCCATAAAGCTATTTTAAAATACAGTATGTAGCTTCAATTGAAATGAGTTCAGAGCCTGAGTAGCAAGAAAAAAAGAAGCATGGGCATTTTAGTATCATCAAAAATTATTAACAGCAGCAGACAGAGGATCAAGCCTCCACCAGTCCTTGTACTAAACGATCCCCACAACAGCAGCAAATAGAAAAATCTGCCATTTTATATCGTGGTGCTTCACATTTATTACATAGGCTGATCTAAGCATGAAAACTAAAACAAAAAAATCGCACAAATGCCAACCAGATGGGACGGCATTAGTAATGCCTTAGAGGGCAAAGCAGATGCCTAATATAATGATAATGATGATGATAGCAATAAGCATACTATCAGCAGCAATGATGAAGAATGACAATGACAGCAGTGATGAAGATTTTTTAAATATTTTTTCCCCCAAAGTTAACTTTAATGTGAATTGACTTTTTTAACACAATAGTGTTTCTAGTAAATAACAGATACTACTTGTATGATAACATGCATTAATATAATTTTACACAGAAGAACTACTTCTACAATCAGTGCATCTAATGCACTGGTGTCTTACATGACAGAAACTACAATAATACAACTATGAGGAATTTAGTCTACTTTTCTTATAAAAATACAAATAGGTAACAGACCTTATATTAAAATAAAGCCAAACAATTTTTTTAAATTTCTTATTTTGTCAAATAGGTTTTGACATCATACACTGCAGATGTTGCTAGTTGACCTAGAATTTTTTTTTTTATCACAATGGCCATTTCCCACTGAAAAAGAAGAAAGTTTCACCATCCATCACTATCTTCCCAGAGACATGCCAATACTACAATACAGACACCTCTCCAAGCTGTGAATATCCCCACCACCTCTAGGAGTCGTGTCTGAATTACCAGTTTCCCTGAATCCTTTTATAAATGTTACCTTGCTCATATTCCAACAGAATGTCACAAAAACCACTTGCCTCCACTCACTACTATCACACTTACACACACCTGCTGGATGTCCAAGCCTCTTGCACATAAAACCTCCTTTACCCCCTCCCTACAACCTTTCTTAGGACGACCCCTACCCACCTTCCTCCACTACAAATTTATACACCCTCCAAGTCATCCATTCTACTCCATCCTCTCTAAATGTCTAAACCATCTAAACAACCCCTCCTTAGCTCTCTAGATAATACTTTTAGTAACCCCGCACCTACTACTCTTCTAGCTATGAATTCTCTGCATAATATTCACACCACACCTTGCCCTCAGACATGATATCTTCACTGCCTCCAGCCTCCTCCTCACTGCAACAGTCACAACTAATGTGTCACACCCATATAAGAATGTTGGTACCGCCATGCTCCCTCCTTCCAATCTCATATCTAATCTTTCATTTCTTAAATTGTTTATCCTCACAACCTTGCTATTTCCTATATTCACTTTTAATATCCTTCTTTTACCCTCCCAAATTCATCCAACCTTTGCAACCTCTCTTCAGAATCTCCCAAAACCACAGTGTCATTGGCATATGTAAAGGAACTGTGACAATTTCCATTTTGTATTAGATTCTACATATCTTAATCCCACACCTCTCTCCAACACCCTAGCATTAACTTCTTTTACAACCCCATCTATAAATATGTTAAACAACCATGGTGACATCATGCATCCCTGTCTAAGGCCAACTTTTACTGAAAAATAATCTCCCTCTCTCCTACATACCCTAACCTGAGGCAATGAAAACCTTACCTTTAGCTAAACACTGTTCACTTATATGCTTCAATGTAAATACTTAGTCTTCACATTCCCTACTCTTCCTAAAGCCTTGTTCATCTGCAATCTTGCTCTCCATCTTACCCTTAATTTGTTCAATAATAGCTACCATACACTTAACTGGTATACTTCAAGAGGCTTATTCCCCCCCATAATTTTTACACTCTTTTGTTCCACTTGCCTTTATACAAAGGAACTAAGCACTCACTGCCAATCCCTAGGTACCTTCCCTCTTTCATACATTTACTGAACAAAAGTACCAATCACTCCATACCCTCTTTCATACATATATAGACCAACAGTACCAACCACTCCAAAACTATATCCCCCACCAGCTTTTGACATTTCTATGTAGATCCCATCAATCCCAGCTGCTTTACCTCCTTTCATGCTACCCACAGTCTCATTCACCTCCACCACTCTCACATCTAGCTCTTCCTCATTCCTAAAGGATGTTATTCCTCCCTGGCCAATGCATGAAATCACTGTCTCCTTTTCTTCATCAACATTTAATAGCTCAAAATATTCCCACCATCTTCCCAATACCTCCAACTCTACATCTGGTAACTACCTTCTGTTTTTAACTGTCAAATCCATTTGTTCCTTAGGCTTTCTCAACCTGCTAATCTCACTCCAAAACTTTTTCTTATTCAAAGGAAATTTTTTTGACAAAACCTCACCCACTCTCTCATTTGCTCTCCTGTAACACTCCCTCACCACTCTCTTAACCTGTCTTTTCCCCTCCATATACTCACTCTACCTCATTACACCAACTGGTCCTCTTCCCTCCTGCACTGCACCCACCCTCCTATGTCCACAAACTTCTGCTGAACACTAACACTGCATTCTTAAATCTACTCCATACCTCTTCAGCCCCATTACATATACTCTCACTAGCCCATCTTTCTCCCAATAGTTGATTATTTTTTACCCTAACTACCTCCTTTAGTTTATAGGCTTTCACCTCTCTTACTCACTGATGTCATTTTCCTTGTACCCCTGTCTACCTCTTACTCTCACTGTAACTACACCTAAATAATGATCTGATATATCTGTTGCCCCTCTATAAACATGCACATCCAGAAGTCTACCCATCAACCTTATCCACCAATACATAGTCCAACAAACTATTGTCATTATGCCCCATATCATCTCTTATACTTATTTACCCTTGTGGTCTTAAAATATGAATTAAATATTACCAAACCTCTTTCAATACAAAGTTCAATCAAAGGCCCCCATTATCAGTTACCCCTGGCATCTCAAACTTACCTAATACACCCTCTACAACAGTTGCTCCTACTTTAGCATTTAGGTCTCTCACCACAATTACTCTCTCACTTGGCTCAAAACTCCCTAAACACTCACTCAGCATCTCCCAAAATCTCAATCTCAATATCTCTCTCTCTCTCTCCTACAAGTGCATAAACACTTAGTATAACCTACTTTTTTGCATCCGATCTTAATTTTCATCTACATACTTCTTGAATTTGGAGCAAGGGGCTAGTAACCCCTTCTCCTGTATATATTACTAAATGTAAAAGGAGAAACTTTCATTTTTCCTTTTGGGCCACCCCGCCTCGGTGGGATACGGCCGGTGTGTTATAAGAAAGACTTCTTGAATTTATACATTTATATTCCCTCTTTTCCTGCTATAACTGATCCTTCAACATTATTGTTACCCCTTCCTTAGCTCGAACTCTCTCAGATACACCTAACCTAATCCTATTTATTTCTCCTCACTGAAAAATCCTACCCCCTTCAACTTTGTTTCTCTTAGAGCCAGGAAATCCAGCTTCTTTTCATTATAATGTTAACAATTAACTCTTTCTTAGCATCAGCACTACATCCATACACATTCAAACAACCCAATTTTATAGTTTTTTTTTTTTTTAACAAGTCGGCCGTCTCCCACCGAGGCAGGGTGACCCAAAAAAAAAGAAAGAAAATCCCCAAAAAGAAAATACTTTCATCATCATTCAACACTTTCACCACACTCACACATTATCACTGCTTTTGCAGAGGTGCTCAGAATACAACAGTTTAGAAGCATATACGTATAAAGATACACAACATATCCCTCCAAACTGCCAATATCCCAAACCCCTCCTTTAAAGTGCAGGCATTGTACTTCCCATTTCCAGGACTCAAGTCCCTGCTCACACTCCAACAGATCGTCAGGTCCCAAGTATCATTCATCTTCATTCACTCCTATTTAACACGCTCACACACGTTTGCTGGAAGTCCAAGCCCCTCGCCCACAAAACCTCCTTTACCCCCTCCCTCCAACGTTTTCGAAGACGACCCCTACCCCGCCTTCCTTCCCCTACAGATTTATATGCTCTCCATGTCATTCTACTTTGATCCATTCTCTCTAAATGACCAAACCACCTCAACAACCCCTCTTCAGCCCTCTGATGAATATTTTTATTAACTCCACACCTTCTCCTAATTTCCACACTCCAAATTTTTTGCATAATATTTACACCTCACATTGCCCTTAGACAGGACATCTTCACTGCCTCCAACCGCCTCCTCGCTGCAGCATTTACAACCCACGCTTCACACCCATATAAGAGAGTTGGTACCAATATACTTTCATACATTCCCTTCTTTGCCTCCACAGATAACATTTTTTGTCTCCACATATACCTCAATGCAACACTCACCTTTTTACCTTCATCAATTCTATGGTTAACCTCATCCTTCATAAACCCATCCGCTGACACATCAACTCCCAAATATCTGAAAACATTCACTTCTTCCATTCTCCCTCTCCCCAATGTGATATCTAATTTTTTTTATCTAAATCATTTGATACTCTCATCACCTTACTCTTATCTATGTTCACTTTCAACTTTCTACCTTTACACACCCTCCCAAACTCGTCCACTAACCTTTGCAATTTTTCTTTAGAATCTCCCATAATGTAGATGAATGATTCAGAGAACCGACAAGTTGATAAATTAGACACATGTGCAACACTTGGTATCTTTAATGAGGAGTTTTGCCACACAGTGGCTTCATCAGTCCATACAGGGAATTCTTCACTTGCCTAACCCTTGGGCATGACCTACTTCCACATTGGACAAATGTGATACCACCTACGACTGCTGCACCTCTCCTGCCTACAGTATATAAGCTACTTCTTCGCACATATGCTGTATTCTTTTCAAGATTGACGGACTGACCACATCGACTCAAGGCTGAGGGACTGATCACCTCAAACTCCTCCTGTTCTTCACCGCTCTCCTGTGTATGGACTGATGAAGTCACTTTGTGGCGAAATTTTTCCTCATTAAGGGGGGAGGCGGGCAATTTTCCGCGCGCGCTCACCGAAAAATCGAAAAAATATGGAAATTGAGTTATATATACTGAAAAATAGCTCAACTCTTTGGCAACACAATGGTACCAGAATGAATGTTCTACGACGTTTCTACAAGAAATTATAGTCATTTATATCAGGTATGGTGACGGCGATGTTGGTACCGAGTCTGCTCACGGCCTATATATTTTTTGGAGTTATTTTCTTGTTTTTTATCGCCTTTTCTTGCATTATTCTTTCTAATATAATAACTGACTATTTGGCATCATAAAACAGTAGGTGGAGCTTATCGGCAGACTTAGTGACTACCGGGAACCAGACGGGAACGATCAGCAGTGTTCCTGCTCCCGAGGTGCCAGCCAGGAATCACCCATTATTTCGCTTATATCAGCTTATATATCAACTCTACGGCTTATTTGTCTATCAGAATTGATCTAATATGATATAATAAACACTCTAAATAACATACAAACATGTTATATACTCTAGACTGAATAAAATAGGCCATAATATGGCCCAGAGATTATCGGGAATATTTCGATATAAAAGTGTAACTGGTCACCCTGTCGTCTCTGAGTAAGAGAAAACGGTGTTTAGAGGCTAACTGCACTAGAACATCAGTTTACTAAGAAATACACCCAAACAAACGCGATTTTCGCGAATTTTTTTTTTTTTTTTTTTTTGAGACGGGGGCCGGCCGGCGTTCCCGGCCGATATCTCGGAAGTAACTTATTCACCTATAATTTGATGTGGGTCCTTTATTACTTAATTAAATGGAATAATATTCACGGATATTGTAGAATAATGATTTCTCTTATTTTGACCGTAGAATTTTTGGAAATATTCCAAATACTTCGGGAGTTATGTGGGAGTAAAGGGCAGATTTTTTTGCCATATTCCAGATACTAACAAACTTTATTTTTTTGTGAAATAACGATAAGGTATTTAGAGGGAAATCTTACGGTCCGAATTAGTATTAGCATTGTTCTCTCGGCACCAAGTGTCCAAACCACCTTACGTAGCCGCATATAAGAGTTACATCAACATCAAGGGCATTTTCAGTAAATCAGTCTTTTCTCAGTTGTTGTTTGAGGTATATTTTTTATAAATATTTTCAAGAAAGAGTGAGAACACTTTGTCTTGTGCACCAAAACTGGAGAAAATCGGACGGTAAATAAACGAGTTACGAAATTTGCCCTGTAGCCCCCTTAAAGTTACCCAAGTGTTGCACATGTGTCTAAATTATCAATCTCCCATAAGCACAGTATCATCAGCAAAAATTAACTGTGTCAACTCCCATTTAGTATTTGATTCCCCATAATTTAATTCCACCTCTTTCCCCAACACCCTAGCATTTACTTCTTTTACAACCCCATCTATAAATATATTAAACAACCATGGTGACATTACACATCCCTGTCTAAGACCTACTTTTACTAGGAAGTAATCTCCCTCTCTTCTACACGCCCTAACCTGAGCCTCACTATCCTCATAAAAACTCTTTACAGCATTTAATAACTTACTACCTACTCCATATACTTGCAACATCTGCCACATTGCTCCCCTATTCACTATCATATGCCTTTTATAAATCCATAAATGCAATGAAAACTTCCCTACCTTTATCTCAATACTGTTCATATATATGCTTCAATGTAAAACCTTGATCTACACATCCCCTACCCACTCTAAAGCCTCCTTATTAAAAATGCACTAGATAAGTGCACACAATGGGAGGTCTGATTGCAGTAAAATTTGCTAATAAAGAAAGGCTCCTACCTTAATCATGTGATGAATGTTGTGGATTTTATCACCTCTGTGTTGCTGCTGCAGGAACTGCTCAACAATGCTCATGAAGGGTTCAAGGGTTGGCTTAAATATACTAGGCTGACTGAGAAGCTTGTCAAGCGAATCGCCTTTGCAATCCAGAAATTTCTTCGTAACAGACTGCAGTAATTTATCTAGTTGGGGTAAAAAAAAAAAGCCCAATATAAACCAATAGAAAGAAGTTTAATTTTTATTTCTTTATAATCATATATTCAGAATGGAGGAAGTGAATGTATTCAGATACATATTTGGGAGTGTACATGTTGGCAGATGGATCTGTGAAAGATGAGGCAAACCATGGAACAAATAAAGAAAAAGGTAGGTAGTGTACTGAGACATTTGAGGAAAGAAGGCAAAAATGGGAATATACCAGAGTACAGTAATACCAACACTTTTATATGGATGTGAGGGATGAGCTCCAACACTTTTATGGATGTTTGGCATGAGTTCTAACATGAGCTCCAACACTTTTATATGGATGTGAGGCATGAGCTGAGGGATGAGTCAGAGAATGCAGCATCAAAGATAACAAGAAGAGGAAGAGGAATAAGAGGGAAAGGAGAAGCAGCAGCAACAGTAGCAGTAAGGAGGAGGGGCGGCATCATCATTATCATCCGCAGAAAAGGAGGGATGCAAGTGTCAGTGGAGACAGAATCAACAGCATCAGTGGTGCCTGCATAAGTCTCTCAATCCAAGCCAGATTTAAAAGTTATTCCAGGTTGAAATCCATAAGCCACACTGTGTAGATGTGAGTAATGGCATCAGTGGCAACATATTAGCATCAAAAGCATCAGCTGTAGCAGTATCAATAATGTTGGATTAAGTTCAAAAATTGCACTTCAAGCCATATCCAAAAGGTATTCTGAGGCCATAAATGTGATGCATGTGTGGATGGGGAAAGAAGGGAGAAGAATAAAGAGGAGAATTTATTCACATAGTTTATCACATGCAGCCAGTGACAAATCATGTATGATAAAGAACATGACATTTACATACCTTTCTTTGATAAAGTTTGCTGATGTCTCCAAACTCCTTCACTCCAGTAGAACTGGCAAAACAGTGATGGGTCCATTGTGACCAAATGTTCATATTTCTGACAATGGTGTGCACACACAGGGTCCACATGGCTACAGAACCATATCAGCTTACACACATGCCTGATAAACAGGAACATTTTCCTTAAAGGAACTCTTGTATGAATGTAAAAAATTTTTTCTCATAGAGCATCACAATAAAATACTATGTACTGAGTTCCTTAAGAACAAATACTTTTATAATTTATCAGGAAAATATGAATAGCAACAAGTACACAACAACCATTACTACCTAGTTATTTGTAAAAGCACAGGGTGGGTGGTAATTATAGTGTTGTGAATGGTGGTTATAGTGTTGTGGGTGGTTATATTGTTGTGGGTGGTGGTTATAGTGTTGTAGATGGTGATTATAAAGTGTTGTGGTTGGTGGTCATAGTGTGGATTGTAATAATGTTGGTAGAATTACCGACAATATGTAAAGTAAAAGGACACAAGTGCAACTAATGTGGCATTTTATTATGGCAACGTTTCGCTCTCCAGGAGCTTTGTCAAGCCGTTACAAACAGTACATGGACACAGAGGGTATATATAGGCTCAGAGTGAGGTGCAATACTAGTGGTGGTAGTAGTAGTAGTAGTGACAAGTTGTAGTAGTAGTAGTAATACAATATGGTAGAGCAATTAACTCGTACATGAGTAAAAGGATATAAACGTTGTTACTTGGGTAACATAAAAATAGGTTAGACAAATATAGACTGGAGAGAGAAGGCCTTTTTCATTGTTCACTCTCTGTAATGTGCTTTGTTTTAGTATTTAAAAGGAGAGACTAAGTGATGGGAGGGTTTCTGTTTTAGGGGGGATTTTGCTAAGACTTCAGAGATGGTGAAGCTGCCTTTGTTTTGTTTAATTGTATTCGAAACAGCAATTAGTGCTGATTTGAGGCACTTGTGTCTGCGGAAATTAGTTTCTTTGATCACTAATTGGGCGTCCCTGAATTTCATGAGATGATTGGTGGAATTTCGGTGTTGTACACAGGCGTTGTTCAAGTTATCGTTCCTACATGCGTAAATATGTTCGTTGAGGCGGGTGTCGAGGTTTCTTGCTGTTTCACCTACATAAATCTTGTCGCAGCCTCCACAGAGTATAGTGTAAACCCCTGCATTGACTGGTTCATGGTGCTTTGATTTTGTCCTGGTTAGATCCTTTATTGAAGTGCTGGAAGCGATGGCGACTCTGGTGTTAGCTTGTGAAAGTACTTTAGAAACGTTCAGTGCAACCTGGCTGTTGGAAAGAATTATAACTTTGTTGGGAGTGGTGTTGGTGCGTGGAGAATTAATGATCTGAAGAGCTCTTTTCTTGCAATCTTTGATGAAAAAGGAAGGAAAATGTAACTGAGCAAGAAAACAGCTCTTCAGATCATTAATTCTCCACGCACCAACACCACTCCCAACAAAGTTATAATTCTTTCCAACAGCCAGGTTGCACTGAACGTTTCTAAAGTACTTTCACAAGCTAACACCAGAGTCGCCATCGCTTCCAGCACTTCAATAAAGGATCTAACCAGGACAAAATCAAAGCACCACGAACCAGTCAATGCAAGGGGTTTACACTATACCCTGTAGAGGCTGTGACAAGATTTATGTAGGTGAAACAGCAAGAAACCTCGACACCAGCCTCAACGAACACTTTTACCCATGTAGGAACGATAACTTGAACAACGCTTGTGTACAACACTGAAATTCTACCATCATCTCATGAAATTCTGGGACGCCCAATTAGTGATCAAAGAAACTAATTTCCGCAGACGCAAGTGCCTCAAATCAGCACTAATCGCTGTTTCGAATACAATTAAACAAAACAAAGGCAGCTTTACCATCTCTGAAGTCTTAGCAAGAATCCTCCTGAAAACAGTAAACCCTGCCATCACTTAGTCTCTCCTGTTAATACTACACAAAGCACATTACAGAGAGTGAACAATGAAAAAGTCCTTCTCTATCCAGTCTATATTTGTCTAACCTATTTTTATGTTACCCAAGTAACAGCGTTTATATCCTTTTACTCATGTACGAGTTAATTGCTCTACCATATTGTATTACTACTACTACTACAACTTGTCACTACTATTACTACTACCACCACTAGTATTGCACCTCACTCTGAGCCTATATATACCCTCTGTGTCCATGTACTGTTTGTAACGGCTTGACAAAGCTCCTGGAGAGCGAAACGTTGCCATAATAAAATGCCACATTAGTTGCACTTGTGTCCTTTTACTTTACATATTGTGTGGATGTTGGTTATAGTGTTGTCCAGAGGGTTATTTCAACTTTAACATCCACACACTTCTAGCAAAATACTTATTGAGTGAGTGATGATGTATGTGTTGCCTTCCTTCAGTCACCTTACTCATGGGGGGAGGAGGGGGGAGGGGGGAGGAGGGGGGAGGCACCAAACAGCTCATGGAAAAAAAAAAATAGTAACTGTCCCTAATCTAATGATGAAAACTGTAAGCCCCGTGATTATCAGTCTCCACCACCCCTTATATTGAATGGCCCATATAGGTTTAACCCTTTATGGGGAAAAAATTCTCCAAATCCCCAATAAAGTCATAACATGCAGTATGATAACCTATATATTTCTGAGTATTAATAAGAGATAAAACAATCTTATCAAGAATCTCTGGTTTCATGATTTAATTAACCCCTTGACTGTCGAAACCCAAAATCCTGAGGTGTCTTCTGGTGTCGGGGAGGAAAAAAAAAAAAATGAAATGATAGATAATCTTTTCCCGATGGTAATGACACCAAAAGAATGAAATTTGATGGAAAACTTACGGAATTACACTCTCACGAAGTTAGCGACCTTGGCGATATTTACGAATCGGCGATTTCGCCCACTTTGAGCCCTATTCGGCTAATTCCATTGTTCCAGTCGACAAAATTCATGGCTATTTCTTTAGAACTCCATTTGTTCTATCGATTGAGTACAAGAAACTGCCTATTTACCAATTTCAACTACCCAATAAAGTAGTCAGAAATTGGCAATTTGGCCAATTTCACGCAAATTAAAAATATGCCAATTTCAAACCAGGGTCCAGAATGAACAATGTAGACATTCCTGGCTCTAAAATAACATTTTCTTTGTTCATCAGTCATGTCTCCAGGCCCCTCTGATATTACTCTTGCTTTCTATTTTGAATTTTTATTCAAACAAAAAATAGAAGATTTACAGTTATGCCAACTACTGCAATATTGTAATAATTGTATAAATAATGTCAACCCATTCCTGACTGCATATTAGAATGGCTAGTTGGACATTTATTGGACAATGACATCATTTGTTTGCTTTTGAAAATCAGGAAAAATCAAACATTTCCCCTACTTTGAGCTCCATTTCAAGGTTCTTTTCATAGTAAAACAAATCAAAATCACCTCTATTTCTATAATATATTTTCCATTCTATCAAATGAGACCAAGAAAACAAGAATACAACCATAAATACTATATGAAAATACACCACAAAGTTGGCGTTTTAATCCAAAAACACGGTCGGAGTTTTTTTTCTCATTATGCACTGCATGCTGCAGGATTTCTTTCATATGGTGCACAGTGACCACAGAGACCCATTCTCTCACATGTGGGCCTACCAGCTTTCTCCTGCTTGATTTGAAGCCACTAGAATTTTTTAGTATATATACGTCAAACACGGTAGATCGTAAGACGTATATATACGACCGAAACAGTCAAAGGGTTAATAAAGTACGAGAGAAACCCCTTCTACTATGTAAATTACTATAAAAAAAAAAGTTTTTCTTTTTAGGTCACCCTGCCTTGATGGGATATGGCCAGTTTATTAACAAAAATGTACGAGATAATGAGTATTAGGAGAGGACAAATTTAAGTGTCGAAACTGTAACAACAAAGCACTAAAATTCACAATCGCCAATGGCAACTGTTGCATTTATAGATAACGTTACTAGAACGAAGCCAAAATGAAAGAAGATGAGGATGTTGTAGCTGCTTCATACATATTTCATATTGCTTCATGTTCTTTTGATTCTAATTTTGAAATACAGACGAGCCCCACTTTACAGCACTTTACTTAACAGTATTTAACTAATGTAGCAGTTTTTAATTATACCCATTCTTCATTTATTCAGACTACAACTTCTTTCTTTCAACAGATCGGCTGTATCCCGCCAAGGCAGGGTGGCCCAAAAGGAAAAACAGAAGCTTCTCATTTTAAATTTAGTAATACATACAGGAGAAGGGGTTACTAGCTCCTTGCTCCCGGCATTTTGGTCGCCTTACGACATGCATGGCTTACGGAGAAAGAATTCTGTTCCACTTCCTCATGGAGATTTATTCAGACTTCCTACAATAAGTATATTCACCACTCACTATAAGCTAAGGATAAAAATATTTTAAGGTAAGTAATGTGTGTACTGTGTATGCATTTTTTAGGCCTAGCTTTACTGGTCACTTAATATATGATAATGTAAACATGTTACTGGGTTTTTATATGCATTTAAAAGTGAAAATAGGCTCACTTCACAGAAATTTTTGCTTTGCAGCAGTAGCCAGGAAGCTAACCTGCTGCATAAGCAGGGGCCCTCCTGTATAAAATAAATAAATAACACATGTGCTTCTATTGTTTTGTCTTTAAGTACAAATAACATACGTACCTATTGTAAAACAGCATTTTTATTGTTTTAAATTTAAGTACAAAATACACAAGTGTAATGAACTTAAAATTATTTTATTTGGTATGAGTGATGACCTTATTTTGTGTGTGCTTGCTCCCAAGTGTTAGAACCTGATTACCATGTAGAACCTGATCACAATGTCAGAATCTGATTACAATGTCAGAACCTGATTACAATGTTAGAATCTGGTTATGTCTCTGATTGCAATGAATAAATATGATTTTTTATAATTGAATAAGCATGCCATGAACAGATTAAGAACTAAGCATCCAGATCAGTCCTTGACTAGCAAATATAAACACTAGAACAATAATAAGACAGAAATAACTTTACCTCTCCCATTCTACCCATGAAAAGAGTGGTGATATGGTATTATGGGGCTGAATTTCTTCATTAATCTTCACTGCAAAATGTGAAAGCTGAACTTCAGTAGTGCCATCGATGCCACAGTATGCCTTCAGAACTACAATAATGGCTGCCATGGCCATAACTTCAATGGCTGGAATTCTAACACCTTGTAAAGGCTTAATCATTTTACTTCCTAATAAAACAAGTTCTTGTGCCATGATTCCCACCGACTCTGTAAAGGCATTTACACTTACTGTAACTATTTAAAAATACATACATAATTACATAATTTATCAAAGGAATGAAAAATTGTGCAAAAACTATCAAAAACTAAACATTTAAACTTATATTGTATTTGTATAATTTCTTCAAAGCTAGTCAGTCTTAAAGAAATGTTTGTCTTGATTTCAGCCTGTGTAGGTTAAAATTTGCTTTATTTTGGAAGAAATGGAAAAAATTTAAATACTGCTTTTTATGCGGTAATTTCTGAGTGTCACATCTCATTTGTCTCAGCTCTTCTATGCTCATAACATAATTATGCAACTTCTTTTAATATTAAAAGGTTAGTAATACTATACAGACAAGGAGTGTACAACCTTAATAATACTTCAAAAGGGTTGTGCCTCAAAGCTGGTAAGAAGCTTCTGATCCAAGGAACTGGGACTATTGTCTCCTTCCTCAGATCAAAACTGATTATTTTCTGTTCCCAGGCTCTGTATAACCTCTAAAGATTCAGCTTTCCCCCACCATTGTAATAGAGAATTAATAATTTATTCATTTTTTTCAACAAACTGGCCATATCCCACCAAGGCAGGGTGACCTAAAAAGAATAACAAGTTTCTCTTATTAAATTCAGTAATGTATACAGGAGAAAGGGTTACTAGCCCCTTGCTCCCGGCATTTTAATCACCTCTTATGACACGTATGGCTTACATAGGAAAGATTCTTATTCCACTTCCCATGCAGATACAGCCTCTCCTCACTTAGTGACAACATGTTATAGGAAGGAGCAGCAATAATTTTACATGCTCGGACTGGTCCTGGACATTCGCCATATTATGGCCTATTTTATGCATTCTAGAGTATGTATCATGTTTCTATATTACTTATAGTGTTTATTATATCATATTAGATCAATTCTGATAGATAAATAAGCTGTAGAGTTGATATTAGCATTATATTGAAGTATTTTCTCCTTCCCCTGGGGTGGTTTTTGGGGGCTGGAATGGACTAATGGCATTTCAATTAATTTTAATGAGGAAAATTGATTTGATACTCGAGCAAACTGAGTTATGAGCTTGGTCACAGAACGAATTAAACTCGTAAGTCAAGATACCACTGTAAGTCACTGTCTGACTTTTTTGGGTTATCCTAGGTGATCTACACATATGTTGCTATGTATGATAATTTATGTAACTATTTATTTGTACCTTGTAGGTAGTAGGTTGGTAGACAGCAACCGCCCAGGAAGGTACTACCGTCCTGCCAAGTGAGTGTAAAACGGAAGCCTGTAATTGTTTTACATGATGGTAGGATTGCTGGTGTCTTTTGTCTGTCTCATAAATATGCAAGATTACAGGTACGTCTTGCTACTTCTACTTACACTTAGGTCACACTACACATTCGTATACAAGCATATATATATATGTACACACCCCTCTGGGTTTTCTTCTATTTTCTTTCTAATTCTTGTTCTTGTTTATTTCCTCTTATCTCCATGGAGAAGTGGAACAAAATTCTTCCTCTGTAAGCCATGAGTGTCGTAAGAGGTGACTAAAATGCCGGGAGCAAGGGGCTAGTAACCCCTTCCCCTGTATATATTACTAAATTTAAAAGGAGAAACTTCAGTTTTTTCTTTTGGGCCACCCCACCTCAGTGGGATACGGCTGGTATGTTGAAAGAAGAAAGATTTATTTGTACCTATACTTGAATAAACTTATTTAGTACTTAAAAACAAGAACTATTAAGAAAAAATTAAAGAAAATGCAAATTAGTGTTTATACATATACGTGTGTATGTATGTGCAGTGTGACCTAAGTGTAAGTAGAAGTGACAAGACATACCTGTTAACTTGTGTGTTTATGAGACAGAAAAAAGAGACACCAGCATTCCTACCATCATGTAAAACAATTACAGGTTTTCATCTTAAACTCATTTGGCAGGACAGTAGTACCTCCCTGGGTGGTTGCTGTCTACCAACCTACTACATGTAGGTACATGAGAGACGAGGTAAACCATAGAACTGATGAAGGAAAAAAGGCGGGTGATGCACTAAGGTATCTGTGGAGATGATGAACATTATCCAAGGAGGCAAAGAGGGAAATGCATAAGAGTATAGTAGAACCAACACTTTTATAGTGTGAAGCATGGGTTGTGAATGTTGCAGAGAAGAGAAGGCTGGAGGCAGTGGAGATGCTGTGTATGAGGGCAATGTGTGTGGTGTAAAAATGCAGAGAATTTGTAGTTTGGAGATTAGGAGGTATTATCTAGAGGGCTGAGGAGGCATTATTGAAGTGGTTTAATCATTTAGAGAGGATGGAGCAAAATAGGATGGCTTGCAGGGTGTATAAATCTGTAGTGGAGGGAAGGTGGGGTAGGGGTCACCCTAGAAAAGGATGGAGGGAAGGGGTAAGATAGACAGGAGTGTGTGGAGACAGATGGTTTTTGGGAAACTAGTTAGCCAGACTTGAATCCTGGAGGTGGGAAGTACAATGCCTGCACTCTAAAGCAGGGGTTTGGGTATCTGCTGTTTAGTGATATCTAAACTGTTTCTGTGCACCTCTAGCAAGACAGTGGTAGTGTGAATGATGGTGACAGTGTTTCTTTTTCAAGTCACCTTACCTCAATGGGAGACAGCCAGCATGTTAAAAAAAAAAAAAATTGCCAATTATATGATCAAATAATTATTGAAGTTGGAATACCACAAGCACAGTTCTGCCGATGGATCTACCAAGACGTATTCACAGAAAAATGTAAACAGAGAACTAATATGACAAAAAAGCGATTTATTGGTGTTATAGAGGTTACACAGACAGTGGTCCTCCTGTTTTAGTAGTACAGTAGAAGGTGGAAAAGCATTTCATCTTAAAACAGATATAATCTTTCCACACACCTTAAACACTAGCAACCATCTTTCCCTTGTTTATTCTGTGATTCACATCATCTTTCACTGACTATTTATTATTTTTCCTTAATTTGTAGTTACAGGAGCTGAGCTACACTTGGGGTGTCCCATCTTCAGTGTTCAGTTCATCATACAGTGTCCCCTCCTGCATTAGTCTGCTCATATACAGTATATATGTACAGAGGGTGTGTAAAGGTAGAAAGTTGGAAGTGAACATAGATAAGAGTAGGGTGATGAGGTTATCAAACAATTTAGATAAAGAAAAATTGGATATCACATCGGAGAGAGGGAGTATGGAAGAAGTGAATGTTTTCAGATATTCGGAAGTTGACTTGTCAGCAGATGGGTTTATGAAAGATTAGGTTAACCATAGAACTGAAGGTAAAATGATGATTTTTGCAGTGAGGTATCTGTGGAGACAAAATAGTAAATATAATGTTATCCATGGGGGCAAAGAAGGGAATGTATGAAAGTTTGTGGTACCAACACACTCACATGGGTGTGAAGCTTGGGTTGTAAATGCTGTGGCGAGGAGGCAGCTGGAGGCAGTGGAGATGTCGTGTATAAGGGCAATGTGTGGTGTAAATATCATGCAGAGAATTCAGAGTGTGGAAATTAAGAAGTGTGGAGTTGCTAAAAGTATTAGTCAGAGGGCTGAAGAGGAGTTGTTGAGGTGGTTTGGTCATTTAGAAAGAATGAAACAAAGTAGAATGACTTGGAGAGCGTATAAATCTGTAGAGGAAGGCGGGGTAGGGGTCGTTCTTGAAAAGGTTGGAGGGAGAGGGTAAAGGAGGTTTGTGGACAAGAGGCTTGGTCTCCCAGCAAGCATGCATGAGCGGGGACTTGACGAGCTGTTGGAGTGTGAGCAGGGTAATATTTTGTGGAGGGATTCAGGGAAACCAGTTAGCTGGACTTGAGTCCTAGAAATGGGAAGTACAATGCCTGCACTTTAAAGGAGGGGTTTGGGATACTGGCAGTTTGGAGGGACTTCTAAACTGTCGTATCTGAGCGCCTCTGCAAAGACAGTGATTATGTATGAGTGATGGTGAAAGTGTTGAATGATGATGAAAGTATTTTTCATTCTTTTTGGGTTTTTCTTTCGTTTTGAGTCACCCTGCCTTGGTGGGAAACGACCAATGTGTTAAAAAAAAAAATGTACGTGTATTTTCCATGGGAAATGGAGAGGAATCCTCCCTTCATAAGCCATGTGCATCATAAGAGGCAACTACAATGCCAAGAGCAAGGGGTTAGTAACTCCTCCTCCTGTATAAATTATTAAATGTAAAAAGAAAATGAAAGATTTTTAGGTCACCCTGCCTCAGTGGGAAATGGCAAATGTATAAAAAAAATGTGCATATATGTACATATAAAAAACTTCTTTTTACCTGGCAAACTAAATAACTTGACAAATCTGATCATCACATCACTGACAGATGGTAGAGATAAAAACTGTATGCTGAATAATACACTCAGATTTCCAGCAATAGTTCGCAACAACTCTGCATCTGGGATAATCTGGAGGTCTTTTAACATTGGCAGGTCACATCTAAATATTTTCATGTCTGGCTTTAACAGGTACTGAGCTGACAGGTAGGGAATGTGTCCCTCCCGGCACCATCTGTAAACAGACAAAAGAAATTAATTCAGGAAGTACAAACCCAAAATTAGTTTTCATTCTCCAGGATTCAATGCACCAAATAATAAATGGTGAAAATAGCATCATAAAGGTTGACATATTTCTCAATGGAGTAGAAACTTTTACCCTTGAATGAAAATGCAGAACAGTCTTTGCAAACATTTTAAGTACAATGGGTGCTACTGAGACATCATGGCCAGCTGGATGCTCACACATTGACTTGATATAAAGACAGACATATCTGTTAACTGTGCTATAAGAGGAGACTGTATTACAAACACAGGTAATGAATGGCCTGTGACCTGGTCGTAATACGTTTTGGAGCAAAACAAACTCAGCAGATACACTATAACTTGTATTTCCTTCACCAGATATAATTTGCCAGATATATACAAGTATGTACACTATGTACAGAGGTTGAATAGTAAGTGTACCTCATGACGGTGACAGAATGGCAAACGCAAAAGTCAGAGAGAGAGAGTACTGTACTCAACCAGCAGGTAGGCAAGTTTGGCAAATGCTGACTGCAAGTGAAACCACATTGCCTCAGCATTTGGCAGGGTTGCCTGTGATTGGACAATGAAACAAGGTTCTGATTTAATAATAGGTACCCTAATAATCGCATTACCCTAATAACCGCATTAGTATAGCTCATGAAAAACAGAAGAAAAAATTAAGCATCTCCTTCAGCAAACAATTTAAAAATTAAGTCTATCAATCTGCTGTCACTGTGCCCTACCTCATATCTTATGTACTTTTTCCTCTTTGTCTTAAAATAAGTACTGCCTATTACCAGACCTTTCTATGCATATTTTAAGTAGATGGGACTCCCCCATTATCATTTACCCCTGGCATTCTAAACTTACTTGCTGAATCATCTACACATCTCTCCCACTTTAGGATTTATGTCTCCCCCAACAATTATTCTCTCACTCAATTCAGAATCCCCATAGAATTCTCTCAACACCTCCCAAAAACTTCTCTCTCCTCCAAAAACATAAATACTTACTGCAACCCACTTCTCACATCCTACCTTAATTCTAACCTTATAGCTCCTCTTTTCTTTTGATAGCTGATCATTTAATGTTACCACTACTCCTTTAACTCTAGGTCTCTCAGATAAATTCAATTTAACCCTATTTACTCCTCCCCATTGAAAGTACCCAACCTACAAAAGCTTTGTTTTGCTTAGTGTCAGGATATCCAGCTTCTTTTCATTCATAGAATTAACAATTGTTTCATGTCATCTATACTACACTCATGTACATTCAAACAACTCAACTTCAATTTTAAGTAATTTATACAGAAGGGATTACCAGCCTGGCAAGTGGGATACCTGCATATCAATGAAATAATAGGTGTACCCCAACATCTACACCTAACTTTCTCTTACCTTCACACACACACATTGCCATACACAGCTCTTACTTTCTATTTTTTTTTAAAGGGTGGTCAGTGGTCAGTCGTCACGTGAGGTCACAGACCCTGAGCTGCTTTGGGGATTAGCGTGGACGGTTACAAAGCATGGCTTGCTTCTGCAGTGTTTTAAAAATTGAGGTTGGAGAGTTGAAGGAGGAGGTCTTGCTTCTCCAGGAGGAGATTAGGAGGCTGAAGGTCCACCTCAATGAGTCTGGGAGAGAGTGTGAGGTGGCTGGAGTTGTGGGGAATGAGGCTTCTAGCAGTGAGGTGCAGTCTGTCTCCGGCTGTGAGGAGGCTGTAGGTGGGGAGGTAGCAACGGCTACCAGCAGTGAGGTGCAGTCCAGCACCTGCTACAAGTGGCGAGTGGTTCCCAGTAATGGGAGGAGAATCAGAATAAGGAAAGTTAAGAGTGAAGATCTGAAGGTAGGAAATCGCTTCTGTTCTTCAGGATGAATGTACTTCAGTGGCGAGTGAAGGTAAGGGTATTACTGCCCCTACTAACAGAGGTAAGTGCATTCTTGTGGTTGGTGACTCTCAAGTAAGATATTTTGACTGTGCTTTTTGTAATAGGAATAAGAAGATGAGAGATAGAGTGTGCTTCCCTGGAGCTGGTGTTGGGGACATAGTTAACAGGCTGTATAATATCATGTCAGGTAATGGGAACAAGCCCATTATCTGTCTCAGTGCTGGTGGAAATGATATTGAGAAGGGTAGGAGAGAAGAGCTGTTAGATAAGTACAGGTCAGCTATAGATTTCATCAAGTCTAAGGGAGGGGTCCCAATCATATGTAGCATCTTGCCTAGAAGGGGAGTAGGAAATGAATGGTTGTCTAGGGCAATTGGTGTAAATTGCTGGCTAGACAGATACTGCAAGGAACTTGCAATCCCATTCATTGACAACTGGAACAACTTTTATGGCAAACATGATATGTATGCAAGGGATGGGGTACATCTCTCTGGGGCTGGGGTGGTAGCACTTGCAAACTCAATTGAGAAGGCCATTGGTGAAATGCCTATGATTTTAAATTGATAGAAGATAGAGGTATGGGTGTGTGTGGGAAACAAGCAGGTTGCAACAAAGGCATTCAGCATAAAGTTATAAATAAAGACAACAGATCAGGTCAGCAAACAAAGGGGGACAGCAGAGGGCAGCAAGGGACTAGCTCCCTTAAGGTTTACTATACTAATAGCAGGAGTGTAAGAAATAAGATAGATGAGCTAAGATTAATTGCAAGTGCAGGAAACATAGATATTATTGCTATAACAGAGACCTGGCTCAATCTGAAAGATAGAGAGATGCCCTCTGAATGTCACATACAAGGCTATAAATTATTCCACATTGACAGGGTCAACAGGAAGGGTGGTGGAGTAGCGATGTATGTCAGAGACAATTTAAATTGTTGTGTTAGACAAGATATAAAATTAGAAGCGTCAGCCACTGAATCTGTTTGGTTACAGCTTCTCGAGGACCGAGAAAAACTAATTTTGGGTGTGATTTACAGGGCCTCAAATCTTGATAGAGAGTGCAGTAAACTTCTATGGGACGAAATTCGTAAGGCATCTACATACGAAAATGTTGTGCTAATGGGAGATTTCAACTATAGACAGATTGACTGGAGCAATTTGACAGGAAATTTAGAGTCAGGTGACTTTCTTGATACAATCCAGGATTGTTTTTTAAAACAGTTTGTGACAGAGCCAACTAGGGGAAATAACCTCCTTGACTTGGTTCTTGCCAGTAGGGAAGCACTAATTAATAATCTTGAGGTTAATGATGAGCTTGGGGAAAGTGATCACAAATCACTCAGTTTTAATATACAGTGGTCCCTCGTTTTTCGTAATTAATCCGTTCCTGGAGCCGTTACTATAAACGAAATTTACGATTTATGAATCAATTTTCCTAATAAGAAATAATGTAAATACAATTAATCTGTTCCTGACACCCAGAGGTATTAAAACAAAAAAATTTTTAACATGAAATATACATGTAGTACATAAACAATACAATGGGAAATGATGAATGAAACATTAACAGCATAACACTTACCTTTATTGGAGATTCTTCTTGGCATATGGGAGACTGGAGGAGGAGAGAGAGTGGATTGTTTATAGTTTGGAAGGGGAATCCCCTTCCATCAACACCTCAGGTACCATTTGCTTTTCTTCTCTGTTTCTTAATGCCACTAGGACCACCTTGAGAGTCACTGGAGTCCTGTCTCACAAAATAACTGTGGAGAGAGCTCTGTTTCTGGCAACTTTTTAACACTTCCCTAAAATGGCCCAAGACTTTGTCACTGTACATGTTGCCAACCTGGCTTGCAACAACCTTGTTAGGGTGATGTTTATCCATAAAGCTTTCCATCTTACCCCACATAGTAAAAATCTCTTTAATTTCTGAAGAAGGCACCTTCTTCCATCTATCTTCCTCCTCCTCTGCAGCAAGATTCTGAGCTGCGATGTGTTGCTCTTCCTGCTGAAGCTCTTGCAGCTCCTCAATGGTGAGCTCTTCATTGTGGTCTTCCACCAATTCTTCCACATCCTCCAAACTCACATCCAACCCCATGGAACTCCCCAGTGCCACAATTGATTTTACAACAGACATAGGCTCATTAGGGTCAGTCCCAAATCCTTCAAAATCCCTCTTGTCGACACAATCTGGCCACAATTTTCTCCAGGCAGAGTTCAAAGTCCTGGTAGTCACTCCCTCCCAAGCCATACCTATAAGGGTTATGCATTGGAGGATGCTGAAGTGTTCTCTCCAAAATTCCCTTAGGGTCAAGTGAGTGTCTGTGGTCACAGTCAAGCACCTGTGAAACATTGCTTTTGTGTAGAGTTTTTTAAAGTTTGCAATAACCTGCTGGTCCATGGGTTGGAGGAGAGGAGTGGTATTCGGGGGCAAGAACTTTACTGTGATGAACCCAAACTCCTCGAAAATTAGGTTATCCAAGTTTGGAGGATGAGCAGGTGCATTGTCCATTACTAGCAGGCACTTGAGATCCAATTTCTTTTCCAGGAGATACTCCTTCACACTAGGGCCAAACACTTCATTGAACCACTCGACGAAAATTTCCCTCGTGACCCATGCCTTACTATTAGATTTCCAAAACACACACAATTTACTCTTCATAACATTGTTTTTCCTGAACACTCTGGGATTTTCAGAATGGTACACTAGTAATGGCTTCATTTTGAAATCCCCACTAGCATTAGCACAGAACATTAGCGTCAGCCTGTCTTTCATAGGCTTGTGTCCTGGCATTGCCTTTTCCTCCTGTGTAATGAAGGTCCTCTTTGGCATTTTCTTCCAAAAGAGGCCTGTTTCGTCACAATTGAACACTTGTTCAGGTTTCAGTCCTTCAGCCTCTATGTACTCCTGGAATTCATGCACATATTTTTCAGCCGCCTTGTGGTCCGAACTGGCAGCCTCACCATGCCTAACCACACTGTGTATGCCAGTACGGTTCTTAAATCTCTCAAACCAGCCTTTGCTGGCCTTAAATTCACTCACTTCACCACTATTTGCAGGCAATTTCTTTACCAAATCTTCATGCAACTGCCTAGCC